TCATATACTTTCAAAACCATTTCTTAGGAACTGCAAAAATATGCTGCTCTGTCTTGCCCCTGAGAAGTCACCATTCCGCACACTATTGTTGCAACAAGGTACTGTGTTCTCTTTCTAAAGCAGTGCAGCACAGTCAAGTGTAAGTCTTCTGCATAGACTTCAGTGGGTGATTTAAGCCAGGGCGAGGACAGATGCCAGCATGCACTGCACAGCGGGAAGTGGATCCAGGAGAACTGCTTTCGGTCTCTGTTAGTGGTAGGTTCTCAGCTTCCAAGGACAGTAGGTGGACTGGATTTTCTACTCTCTGCTTAACAGACAATTACCTGTTTAACAAGTGGGCCTCATTTACATACCTTAGGAACATCTCTCCAGATGGACCTGGATAGCCCTCTGGGAAGGACCAAGCCAGTGCGACTGAGCTGTCACAAACCTCTTCTGCTGGGGTTGGCAAGAAGCACTAGGCCCCCTGGCAGGAGTTCATGCCACCACATACCTGGACCAGCTCTCGGTCAGTGCTCCTGGTCCCTGCTCGCTGGTCTTCCTGGCTCTCTTCCCTTAGGTCCTTTCTACTCCTAGTCCACTGTCAGCTTTCCACCTCAGGTGCAGCAGCTTCTGAGGGACACTGGCCAAATGGATTAACTCATGCAAACCAGCACAGAGACCCAGGCCGCTGCTCCACAAACCAGAACACTGGTTCTCAGTCCTGGCTGCATACTGGAATCTTGTGCAGCTTAAAAACCAAACCAAAGCCCCCTGACATCTCGTGTCTCCCTCCTGCTAGGTTCTGGCATTTTTTAAAGCTCCCCAAGTGATTCTCGAGGGCAGCTTGGGTAGACAAGCACTAAAATGAAAAGGAATCCCTTCCACTTCTGTGCTCACCAAGCACCTACATTACGGAGGGCGCAGGAGGCGCAACTGCTTTCCTCACAAGAGAAGTCCCAAAGAGAAACTGCCTCCCCCTCTAACTGAAAGAAAACTCCTTCAGACACTTCCATTGAAAGAACCATTTTACCCATCACAACAGCAAAGGGAAATAAAAGAAAGAAATGATAAAATGAAAGGACACCTTTCCCATTCACCTACAGTTGAAATGGGAAAAGGTAAAGGAATTCTATTAAATTACTATTTTAGTCACCAGCATAACATCATTGCCTAGTGGCAAAAATGTGAGTTCACTCTTTTTGAGAGCATATAAGAATTTGATTTTCCCTCCAGGTAATTTTCCCCTTGGCAGGAAAGCTGCTTTGGTTGACAAGGGACGGAGTCTGGGTGAGAGCAGGTAAGGAGGGTGACTGCGCAGGTGAGGAGGTAACACCTCGAGATGCGCCATGGTTCACCGCCCGGCCCCGGGTTCCTCCCACCCCGGCTCCTAACATGTCTCCTGCTTCCTTTCCCGGCAAGCTAAAGAATGCAGCCGGATTCCACACAAAGGAACTAACCCCAGCAAGACTTTTTCAACAAAAGAATGAAGCCCAAGAGCAAGAACGACTCTGGAACCCAGGTGACACCAGACGGTAAGCTCCCCCAAGGAGGGTCCTACCGGCACAGCTCTGCAGTGTCCGGCACAAGGGCTGGTGGATATCTGGGGAAGGCATGGATGAGTGAATTTCCCCTTAAGTGCTGTCTTCTCAGTCCCTGTTTAGTTTCTGGCAAACCCTTTAAAGTCTAAGTGGGTCATAACTGGGGCTTGTTTTGTTTTTTATTTTTTGTCAAAGCCAGAACCAATGAACCAGTGATGGGAGGGAGATAACCAATCTCAGAAAGCCACCACAAAACGAGACTTAATTCAGTAGAAAGATCTAGCCTAGTGCGCTAGGCTACACACGAGACACTGCAATGTCTTTTTTCAGTGAACTTGACCCCATAAGATATATATTAATCCTTCATTTCAAAAGGGCCCATCCCGCCCTCGCTCACTGTTAGTTCTTCCATGCACAAATCCTTACTATATATGCTTACCCACACAATGAAAATCAAGTAAGTCATTATTGGGCTAAGGACTGCAAAACCTAGGATAGTTAAGTTTTTATTCTGATGATGATGATAATGAAATTACTTTCTACGGAGGTGGAAGGAAATACATTGGTTGACATTTAAGGATTCCAAGAACCTCAGTAATTATGCCTGGATGTTCTGAGCTGACTAAAGAAGCCTCTCATTTTTGTAAGCTATGTTTCTTCACAGACATTATGATTCAAATGACACCAACAGTGGATGGAGACTGGATTCCCACTCCCAGTGAATGTGAAGCTATCACACTGACAAGCTTTCAGACATCACGCGAGGGAAGGTAAATGGTCTCTACCATCTGCTACACATAAAGGGACTGCTTTTATTTCTATGTCAAATTGGTCCCACAATCTGGGTAGCTGGAGCTCACGAATAAAAATATACTTCTCTTCTAAAGACAGAATTCAAGATTCCACGATTGATCAATTCAGTATTCTGGGTTTTTCAAAATTTGGTCTGAATGACCTGAAGTGATTTAGTTATATCTCTGCATATTTCACCCACTATACAAAGTAATGATAACGCTGAAATCATAAACCACAGGGCTCTTTACATAGGAACCTTCTATCTCAGCTTTTTATATCATTAGGAATGTACCCGTGATGAAGGGTTAAACACCTTACCAGGGCAGCGAATACTAGCATGTTGTCTTTATGTGGAACAAAAAGCTGAAATTTGCCTCTTTCCAAGTGCCACCCAGTGGCTCTGGCCTGGCCTTGCATCGCAATACTCAACAAAACTATATTCCTTCTTCTCGTGACTACTTTCTAAGATGTGAATTCAGGTGTCACCTCTCTGAACTACTACAGTTACCAACTCCTTTCCAAGTTCATCCTGTCCTTCTGTACTCATTTGTTGGCTGATGTCCCTTTTCCACATTTTAACTTTAAAAAAAATGTATTCACATAAATGGCAACAGCAATTGAGATTTTAAAACATATTTTTGCTGTGTAAGTTAATATGGAATACCAGACAACACTTGAATTCTTACTACCTGATTTGGATAGTTCTTTAAATTTAGACTGAAAAGTCTCGCTTTCTTTTTTTTTTTTCTTTCTTTCTTTCTTTCTTTCTTTCTTTCTTTCTTTCTTTCTTTCTTTCTTTCTTTCTTTCTTTCTTTGTCTCCATCCACTGCTGAAACCCAGCTGGCCCCTAGGTGGCGCTCACTCTGCTGGTGGCGCCCTAAATTTCAGCCTGGGACTTCATTCCAGTGACTAGGTCTTCCAGACTGCATCATCAGGACTTAGAGAAGCTTATTGGGGAGATATTAAACCACAGGTAGAAACGCAAGGCATGGACAGTGATTTTCATATGTTTCTCCATTCTCATATATAGATATGTCTCTGCTCCCTTAAAATTGGTATGTCCATTATATTCCAGAAGTAAGTTCAAAAACAGGGAACCCTAAACTACTTGAGCATGTCTTTTTAAAAGGTATCTCTGATTTTGGTACCAATCTTTAACCCTTCTGGATAATGAGACAGAAGCCAACCAGCACGAGGTTTTGTTCACTGGCTCTCTAATGTAAGACATGGAAATAATGCAACGTCCACCCTGAAGTGAGGTGGGAGACATGCAGGCTCCACATGGGGGAGGCAGGGGTAGCCGTGTGGCAGACTTCATGTGTGTGAAATTCAGAAGCAGAAAAGGTCTGATCTGACGTGGTTCCCTGAGATGCTAACTGTGACAAAGCAAAGCTTTTCCTTGGGAAACACACTCCTGACATATCCCCAGTATTGGTCATTGGGCAGTATCCACCTGTGGCTGTTGCTAGTGTGCAGTGGGACGGGGAAGGTTACACGCATGACTTCTTCTGAACCTCTGCTCCTTGTTCTTTCATTCCACTGCTTCCTAGGACTTGCATGTGTGCCAGTGTAGGACTCACGGGATTCAACACAGTGTGACGGGATCACTGGCTTGGGGAACAGATCTTATCTCATGTATGTGTACCCTGTACACAAGAGAAGAAAGCACCTTTCTACACTCACAATCCCCTGACCTTACCCCCAGGTATATCACCAACTTTCTTGAGATTAATACAATATATATACTTTTATCTTGCGCTTGTCTGTCACATGTGTGCATTACTTATAAATAGATATACTTTTGATTTTAACAATTTACCAATAAAACAGGTAACTTTTCAGAGTAGAACTTCATGTAAGGAAATTTGCTTTCAGTTTTTCCACTGCTGACCAAATGTTTAATTAAACTGAAACTTTTCCTTTTCTTTGCAAGTTAGAGATTTAGACCTCAGGGAATTCTTATAAACCTACTAGTACTAACTATTTTTTTTTCTAACCTATTTTTTAATTGAGCAAGAAAAATACATTTGACCTTCCTCTGTCGAGCACTGCCATGAGATGGAGAGACAGATTACAGTAACAGAAGCTAAAAGAAACTTTTTTTCCTCTTAGAGAAATATAAATATTCAACTTACCTGTGTTTTCATTTAGAAAAATAGGATTGTAAACTATGTCCAGCATATAGCAAACATATAACTTGGTTTCACATTACATAGACAGTTAAGGAGCAAAAAGATAAAGAAGAAACAGAAGCAGGAACAAGGGAAGAAGGAAGGGGAAGAGAGAGGAAAGATGGGGAAGAGATGAAAGAGGCACACCCAGGAAGGGAAAAGCTCTGAGATGGCAGCCAGGAGAGAGGCAGGCAGGCTGGGGGGATCGCAGACACCTGAGCGAAGTAAACCTTTCTCGTCACACCCTTTGGTCCCCTGAGCTGCAGGCACCCAGCTAGGAGTGAGCTGTGAACTCTGCTTCACAGCTTTCATAACTGTAACTCAGATGTCATTGGAGGGATAACCTCCAGGCTGCACAGGACAGATGAGGAAATTCCCCTGTGAGCCAAGTGGCCTGAGCAAACTCGCTTGTGAGCCACAGAAAGCTGGGCTGAGAGTGGGATCTGGCCCGAGGGCTGCAGCGTCCCCACCACAGGAAGCAGTCCCGAGCCCAGGACCTTTTACGGGGGCTCACCTCCTCAACCATCTGCTTGACCTTCTTCTGCTGGCAGTGCACCATATCATCCAGGTGTCGGATCCGTTCCCGGAGGCTGGCGGACGCCTCCTCTAGCTGCTGATACCTGATTCAAGGAGAAGAAAGAGCCACTGAGTCCTAAACCATAGGAGCAACAGCAGCATGGAAAGTCACTGCCTGACAGAACACTGCCAGGAACAAGAAGGGTGCTCCCACGTGCACTCTTCCTACTTGGCATGCGTCCTGGGCGATTAACTACCCATCCACCACTCCATGGTAGAAGGAACATGGGACTCTTCTTCAAGTTCCTACTTGCAAGTTTACCCTCTATGAGGACAGTTTCCATACTCTCCAAGGACTGAGACAGAATTTTTTTTTCACCACTTACAGTATGAGAGGCTCTCTGTTTTGGAGTTAATACAATATCGGACCATCCAGTAAATTACCCTGATTAGGAGACCAGAGAAGGAGAGTCTAGCAAACAACGAAATCTCTGAGATCAAGGGACAGAGTCCTAGAAAGTCTGGAATTACAGTCGTCCACACATCACTTATTTGGGGAACATGGAACACATGTGGAAAGGCCTTCTCTGCACCACAACAGAGGGAACTGCATGGTAAGACATGTCATAGTTTTGTCTTTAAACAGCACAAATCATCCTCTGACTCAGAAACCAAAGGAACCAGCAGAGAGACTCTCCAGTTTTGGGGGCTGCTGGAATGGGGTGCTGGAGGAAGGGTCGGATGGTCTGCTTACCACTCCCCTTTCTGCCAGGTCCCCCCCCAGTGCCACATTAAAGACTAGGTGAGATCCTTTGCAAACTCTGAAGTCACAAAAGAGGAAGGAAAACATGTTTTCTCAGCACATAGCAGGGGGCAGACAGTATGCCCATCAGCACCCTCACATTTACCAATGGTGGCACCATCATCATCATCAACCCCTCCCCCTTTAAAAAAGAATTCCCATTTTACAGATAAGCAAAGCTTCTCAGGAGATTAAATAACTCCCTCCAAATGCTCAAATCACCCCAGCTCCATTTTCCTTCCCCAGAGGGCAGTGCATGGCCTCTCAGTGTTTTGACTTCTAGAAGACATCACGTCCTACTCTCTATTTCCCATGCAGGGTTTTTATAGGCTCATAGCCAGGGGAGAAGGCAAAGTTTGACTGAACAAGGTTTGGAAACAAAGAAAGACATTTTAAAATTAGTTTCCACAGCAATGATATTAGTCACAGGGGATGAATTTTCCCATCCACAAGGTGCATCCTGTGGAGCTGAAGGTCAAGGAGAACATTTATAGACTGAGCTTTTGCACTTGGAACCATCTTTGATGTGCTCTGCTGCACTAACAACCTATCCTGGGCCGTCAGATGGGGCTGTAAGCTCCTCAATAAATGGGCTGCCTTGGAAGCTCTCAGCCCCATGTTTTGCATGTGTACGTCTGCAACAAGTGATGGGCAAATGAATGAAAATGTGATGACCAAGGGAGTCCAGCAAAGACACAGCATGTCCACCATCTCAACCCACAAGCTAAAGGGCATCACATCTTACCTTTCCTTGTCAGGATCATTTACTTCTCCTGCCATTTCGCTTTCGTGCTCCAGGAGCTGAAGCTGTAGTTGATGGCGTTCCTACAACACACAAACGTGAATATTCTACCCAATGGATCCCAAGTTGGACAGAGAGCATATATCAAGCAATTCCAGCACTACTGAGTTTAGGTCTATATAACACCCCATGGGTTGCATACCCCCAACTCACCAGAGCCCAAAGCTCAAAAATGCCTGACGTGTTGTTTTATATTTATAGCCACATTTATGAGTTAGTGACAAATATCCTGGATAAAGCCATCCAAGGTTTCTTTTTTAAAAAACACTTCATCAGCACAGGCTCAGATGAAAATTTATAGTTCTAAATAATGACAATCAATACTCTCAATCAGTAGCCTGATAGCACAAAATTCTTGATTTTTTTCTGAATCATCAAGAAAAGAGGCCTTGAAATTCAGGTAATATCCTCTGTACTAATCTCGTCAGTGTTTACACAGGTATGTTCGCTTGTGAAAATGTGTTGTGGTGGTCAGAACAATGGCCCTCCGGTGAGGTCCACACCCTGACCCTTGAAACCTAGGAACATTGTTGCCTTACATGCAAAACGGAGCTTTGCAGATATGCTTAGTGATCTTAAAATGGGGAGATTATCCCAGATTATCCAGGTGGGCTCTTATTGGAAGGAGGGAGTTAGATTATAGGCAGAGAGACCGAGAATGGAAATGCTATACTGCTGACTTTGAAGCTGGAAGGATGGAGCCATGTAATTACTGTGGCAATTTATTATAGTAGCATTAGAAAACTAATACATACATCAAGCTGTGCATGAAGATTTGTACAACAAATTTTAAGTGTACACTTCATAATAACATCTCACATTTGTAAATACCTCTGAAACTACCACCCAGTCACAGAACATTATCTGCTCTGCAGAAGGGTCCCTCACAGAATACAACATCTTTACAACATTTTTACTGATCTGAATAAAAAGTGTTTCAAATTCAGCACTCAAAACCAGAAACAGTAAGCTAATCTATATAGTGAGAAGCAGTTTGTCCGCAGGCAAAATCCCAAAACAGGTGAGTGCAAAATACGGCACTGCACAGTTCACACCTGTGAACATGCTGTTCACACAGTTTTAACAGAGATTTGGCATGATTCCTGCTCTCAAAGATCTATCTTTGAAAGGGAAAAAGCAGGTAATTCGTATGTCTGATCTTAGCTAAACAAAGCCAGCATTTCTCTAGCCTCCACGGAAAAGACAATTTGAGAAAAGAGATTACATTTCAATCACTAAAGAAAAAGCCAACAGGACTTGGAGAACATTTTGTGTTAGACAAATGCTGGCAGGGAGGGGCAGCCATACCACCTCACTGGACTCCCTCCCATACGCCTCTCACATGGGCCCTACAGGGAAATCAGGGGGGTAAAGTTGGGAACTTTCAGAATCCCAAGGGTACAAGGAAGATAAGCTCTGCAAAACAGGTGCAGCTGAGAAGAGCTAGCACCAGGGGCAGACACTTTGGCAAGGCCGTAATAAAAGAAACAGAGCCACACACTTTTGAGACCCTATGGTATGCCAGGCACCGTGCTTAGCATTTTGCATGCATTTTTCTCATTTACTCCTCACAAAAGCCCTAAGAATAAGAATGACTATGATCAACATTTTACAGAAGAAATCACATTTGGAAGAGTCAAGTAACTGCCCACAACTAGAAAGAGGCAAGATTGAAACCCTGGGCCTGTTTGATTCTAAAACCTATATTTTCAACCACTCCATGGACAGTCTGGCTATAAGGTGGCTTCCCTGCCCAAACTGATCCCTAGTGCTGCCCACTCACCTTGCTTCTTTATGCTGCTGGCAAATCTGCGACCCAGAGAGAGCATGTGCACCAACCAGTACCTTCTGTTATAGAAGGGCTGTCATTAGGGAAAAAGCTCAGCTAAGTTCTAGCAAATGTCATTATGCCCAATCTTCACTAATACGACCTTCAACCAATACTGATGCCAGCCTTAAACATGTTACTTAGCCTTTCTTCAATGAAAGACAGGATTCTGTTTTCCCAAGGAGAAGAGGTGAAACTCTAACAGACTCTTTAGTTTGCTCTGGGTCCTTCCAGATAAAGACACTACCTGGAATGGGAGCCTCCAGCCAGCCCTGAAGCTCCATAGCACTGAATTTAATGCTGTTCCTGCCCTGGATACACCTGGTCAGGACAAAGCTGGTCATATATTTTGTTATTGCTTACACCTTCATTAGGCTCCCTCCTTAAGGGCCTCACACTCTCACTGCATGACCTGGCAAGGATCATTAATCTTATCTCGTCCTTTGCCCTCTTCCCTAAGGCTGGTCACAGGACTGGAGGGAATGCTGGCTGAAAACATCTATGTTGCTTGTCTGATACCAAACTTGGGGGTGCCAAGACCCCTCAGGCAGCACAAGAAGATGGGACTGGTGTATAACTCTGAGTGAAGTTTCAAGGCCCTTCCAGTTTCTGCTCTAACCCCCACATACCTTTGCCAACAGTATGCAACCTGTCCCTCAGCCCAATCAGGTAAGGCAGATTTGGGAAAGGCCCCCCCACCCTCTCACCTGGCTGTCCTTCCGATAATAAAGCTTTCTCTGCTTCAAACCTGGTGACTCAAGAGATCAGCATATTGCACATAAGGAACTCGAGTCCAGATTTGGGGATCTGTTAACAAGGGGACCATAGAGGGGCATATGTTGCAGACATCAGGGGTAAGGAGGCCACATCTCCGAACCACTAAAAGGCCAGGTACTGACCTTTCTCACATTGTCATTCCTCCCCCGCACCATCAACCTGGAGATCCTCAGTTCAAGTTACAGGGTGCTAGCAGGTCACGGCCTTACCAGGTTGCCAAGCAGGTCACTGCTGTTCTGCAAACTCATGCTACTAAGACCCGTTTTCCAGAACCAGCCACAGCTCTGACTCTAAACTACCACCCTGCCCCAGAGGTCAGCTACCACCTGCCAAAGGCCAGCCTTTTTTTTCTTCCTTTCCTTCCTTCTTTGTCTCTTTCCTCCCTTCCACCCCTTCTTCCCCTTTCTCCACTTTCTGCTTCCTCCCTTTCTCAAACTGGCTTTGGTATCTCATCTGATTCCCTACCTCCCACATGCCTCCCCTTCCCCACCATCAGCCTGCTCGCCAGCCCACAGAGTAGTGCAGCGTCCTCCATGCCAACCTGTGATGTGCCAACCCCCAAGATGCACCCCAGGAATAACATGCGGGGTATTGATGTAATGTTTAAGTAAGGCTTGATTGTTCAATGATTAAACTAAGTTCATGCTTAGGGCCCCAACAAAGCAGGGCCACTAAAATATTAACTTTTGTAAACGATTTTCACAGAATACAACATCTTTACAACATTTTTACTGATCTGAATAAAAAGTGTTTCAAATTCAGCACTCAAAACCAGAAACAGTAATCTAATCTATATAGTGAGAAGCAGTTTGTCCGCAGGCAAAATCCCAAAACAGGTGAGTGCAAAATACGGCACTGCACAGTTCACACCTGTGAACATGCTGTTCACACAGTTTTAACAGAGATTTGGCATGATTCCTGCTCTCAAAGATCTATCTTTGAAAGGGAAAAAGCAGGTAATTCGTATGTCTGATCTTAGCTAAACAAAGCCAGCATTTCTCTAGCCTCCACGGAAAAGACAATTTGAGAAAAGAGATTACATTTCAATCACTAAAGAAAAAGCCAACAGGACTTGGAGAACATTTTGTGTTAGACAAATGCTGGCAGGGAGGGGCAGCCATACCACCTCACTGGACTCCCTCCCATACGCCTCTCACATGGGCCCTACAGGGAAATCAGGGGGGTAAAGTTGGGAACTTTCAGAATCCCAAGGGTACAAGGAAGATAAGCTCTGCAAAACAGGTGCAGCTGAGAAGAGCTAGCACCAGGGGCAGACACTTTGGCAAGGCCGTAATAAAAGAAACAGAGCCACACACTTTTGAGACCCTATGGTATGCCAGGCACCGTGCTTAGCATTTTGCATGCATTTTTCTGATTTACTCCTCACAAAAGCCCTAAGAATAAGAATGACTATGATCAACATTTTACAGAAAAAATCACATTTGGAAGAGTCAAGTAACTGCCCACAACTAGAAAGAGGCAAGATTGAAACCCTGGGCCTGTTTGATTCTAAAACCTATATTTTCAACCACTCCATGGACAGTCTGGCTATAAGGTGGCTTCCCTGCCCAAACTGATCCCTAGTGCTGCCCACTCACCTTGCTTCTTTATGCTGCTGGCAAATCTGCGACCCAGAGAGAGCATGTGCACCAACCAGTACCTTCTGTTATAGAAGGGCTGTCATTGGGGAAAAAGCTCAGCTAAGTTCTAGCAAATGTCATTATGCCCAATCTTCACTAATACGACCTTCAACCAATACTGATGCCAGCCTTAAACATGTTACTTAGCCTTTCTTCAATGAAAGACAGGATTCTGTTTTCCCAAGGAGAAGAGGTGAAACTCTAACAGACTCTTTAGTTTGCTCTGGGTCCTTCCAGATAAAGACACTACCTGGAATGGGAGCCTCCAGCCAGCCCTGAAGCTCCATAGCACTGAATTTAATGCTGTTCCTGCCCTGGATACACCTGGTCAGGACAAAGCTGGTCATATATT